TTTTCTCACTTCTGTAATCTATGCCCATACATGAACAAGGAAGAGGCACTTAACCTGCACTATCAACAAAACCTGCACTATCAACATCCTTTCTCCCCTACAGTAACCCCCACTATCACATAAATGCTGTCCCCTCCACACATCACTTCAGCTCTGATGATAAGTCATTGAGACTCGAAATGTTAACTTGCTGTCTCTTCATGGATGCTGCCTGACCTGCTGCAGTCTCCAGCATTTTTTGTTTTCAGAAGAGGTGTACACATTGGTCAGAAAAAAATCAATAGATCTGAGAAGTGGGGCAGATTAAAACTTAGCAAAGGAGGACAAAGGGATTTATTAACAAAAGGAAAATAGTGTAAGAGTAAGCTTGTGGGGAACATAAAAACCGACTGTAAAATGTTTCGTAGGTATGTAGAGAAAAAGATTGGTGAAGACAAATGTAGGTCCTTTACAGTCAGAAAGAGGGGAATTTATAATGGGAACCAAAGAAATCGTTGACTGACCACATCCTTTGGTTCTGCGTTTACAAAGGAGGACAGAAATAACATCCTAGAAATGTTGGGGAGCACAGGGTTTAGTGAGAGGGAGGAACTGAAGGAAATCAGTATTAGGAGGGAAATGGTGTTGGGGAAATTTATGGGATTGAAGGACAATAAATCCCCAGTTCCTGATAATTTACATCCAGGAGTACTTAAGGAAGTGGCTCGAGAAAAAGGGCATAAATGGTGGTGCTTGTCCAAGATCCTAGAGACTCCTACAGATTGGAGAGTAGCTAATATAACCCCCTCTATTTAAAAAGGGAGGTACAGAGAAAACAGGAACTATAGACCAGTGAGTCTGATGTCAGTAAGTGGGAAGATGCTACAATCAGTTATAAAGGAATTAATAGCAGAACATTTGGAAAACAGTGGCAGGATTGGACAGAATCAACATGAATTTATGAAAGAGAAATCATACTTGGGCAATCGACTGAAAGTCATCGAGGATGTAGTGTTGTTACTGGGGGCAGGGGCTAAGTGAATGTGGTTTATTTAGGTTTTCAACAAAGTCCCATATAATAAATTAATGTGTAAAATTAAAGCACTTGGGATTGGGGTTGGATAGAAAACTGGTTGGTAGATGGGAAATAAAGAGTAGGAATAAACGGGTTCTTTTCTGAATGGCGGGTAGTGAGTAGTGGGGTACCGTAAGGATCAGTGCTAAGACCTGGCTATTCACATTACATATTAATGATTTTTGAGGTTGGTTGGCTTGCCGAGCTGGTTTGTTGTTCTACAGACGTTTCGTTACTGTGCTTGGTAACGTCCTCAGTGCAGCCTCTGATGAAGCGTCGGTGTGTTTTCCTGCCTGGTTCTTAAACTCTGGGGTCCGTTGCGATGGATTGCCTCACTTCCGGGTTTCCTCCATAGTGGAATGTATATGGGGTCAAGTTCAATGTGTTTATTAATAGCCTGCTTCGTGGAGCCTAACCCTAACCCTCCACGAAGTTTAAAAATGGTTAAAAACACCCCAGGGTTTAAAAGTCAGGCGGGAAAACACACCGACGCTTCATCAGAGGCTGCACTGAGGATGTTACCAAGCATGGTAACGAAACGTCTGCGGAACAATAAGCCAGCTCGGCGAGCGAGCCAACCAACCTCAACACCCACAACCCGAGCTACAGATCTACTCCAAAACCTTTTATTAATGATTTAGATGAGGGAACTAAATGTCATATCCCAAGTTTGCAGATGACACAAAGCTGGGTAGGAGGGTGAGCTGTCAGGAGGATGCTCAGACGCCGGAATGATTTGGACAAGTTGAGTGAGTGGGCAAATGCATGGCAATATAATATGTATAAACGTGAGGCTGTCTATTTTGGTAGCCAAAACAGGAAGGCAAATTATCATCCGGCTACAAACTGAAAGGGGGATGTGCAATGAGAGCCGGGTGTCACTAAAGGCGAGTGTGCAGGTGCAGCAGGCAGTGAAAAAGGCAAATGGGATTTTGGCCTTCATTGGGAGGGGACTCGAGGACAGGGGAGGGATGATTTGCAATAATTATACAGGGACTTGGTGGGACCACACCAGGAATATTGTGCGCAATTTTGGCCTTCTTATTTGAGGAAGGTTGCTCTTGCTATAGAGGGAGTGCAGTGAAGGTTTACCAGACTAATTCCTGGGAATGGCAGGATGGATGTTTAAGGAGAGTTGAATCAGTTAGGATATCTTCTGGATTTCAGAAGAATTCTAACAGAACTAGATAGGGTAGATGTAAGAAGGTGGGGTGTCCAAAACCAGGGGCCATAGTTTAAGGATTAAACCTTTTAGGTCTGAGATGAGGAGAAATTTCTTCATCCAGTGAGTGGTGAGCTGTTGAATTCACTGCCATAGAAAACAGTCATGGCCAAAATACTGTATGATTTCAAGAAGGAGTTGAATAAACTGGGGGCGAAAGGGAATCAAAGGAAACGGGTGACAAAGCAGGAATAGGCTATTGAGTTGGATGATCAACCATGATCATAATGAATGGTGCAGCAGGCTCGAAGGGCTGAATGGCCAACATTTTCTGTGTTTCAATGACAGGGCTGAATCTGTGATTGTCATTGCTGGCGATAACAGACGGTCTGTCCAGTTTAATTTATTTGAGATTTCTTCATGGTTTGACACAACTGAAAAGCTTGTTCAGTCATTTTGATTGGAAAATACAAAGATACATTAAAGGTTCTCTCCTATTCCTAAGGGGGAGCAAGAGCAGTGAAACTGAGCTGTATGTGTGCTTGGATCTTTGAAGGTGGCAGAACACGTTAAGAAAGCAATTTGGACTCTCAGCATTGTCTGACCCAACTTGGTCAATTCTTGAATTTCTCAAATTTCCCAGGAATCTTTGGATCAGTGGATTGGTACAAGCAGGATAAATTGCTTCTGGACAGGACTGGGACTAATATCCTTTGGGTGGGGATGGTTTTGCGAGTAATTCTGGGAGAGTTCAAACTAGACTGATAGTTGTGATGGGAATTTCAGCAGGGAGACAGAGAAGGGGAAATGAGGGCACCCCAGAATGTGAGGATGTTGGGACATTGAGTCACTTTAAGGAGAAGATATAAAGGTTTCTAATTTGTAATGGGTTGAAGGATTATGGAGAGTGGGCTGGCAAATGAAGTTGAGTTAACCATGATCCTGTCAAATGGCAGAGCAGACCTGATGGGCTGAAAGGTTTGCTCCTGCTCCTAGTTCTTGTGTCGTAGAAACAAAGGACAGAAAAGTAAGAAGCAAAAGTGAAAGGCAGAAAAAGCAAGGTCAAAACCAAATTGGGCTACAGTTTGAAATAAAGCTAAGCTGATTAACAAGATTACAAAATACAAGTTTCAAGCTTTTGTGACTTAATGAGTTGAATTATGAAAGACAAGTTGGCAATGATGAATTGGAGAACCTTGGCAGCATAGGCAAATGGCTATTATTTAAGAAATGTGCGTTCGATTACAACAGTTATTCATTTGTATCCAATGCAAAAATAAAACAGGAAAGAATAGCTCAATGAGTACTGGATGTGTGTTGGAAGAATTTGCAGGTTTGGCCCTGTTCTGAATGCACTTTGTGGCCATCCATCCAGATTGGGACTCGAACGTGGAGCCTCTTGCTTAGAGAGAGGGTGCTAACCACTGTGCCCTTAACATTAACATTAACACCAATCAAGCTTCAATAATTCAAATACCCCCTCTAACTTTTAGACTGTAATATTTCCGGTTTCTGAATAGAACTGTTAGAGCAGCCCTGTCTATGTTATTCGTGTGATGGTCCTGCATATATTTGTACTGTGATAACAAGGTGTAGAGCTGGATGAACACAGCAGGCCGAGCAGGAAAGCTGACATTTCGGGCCTAGACCCTTCTTCAGAAAAGTATATTTGTACTGTATTTGTTTAATGGGTTGTTATATAAAGGTTCTTTGGGCTAATTGGTGTTATTTGGTTTTTTTTTACAGTTTAACAGTAACATGGATGAGGTAGCTGTCGTCGCCTCAAAGCTGTGTGTCCGCTTAAAGCTGGCCCCTCAGGATATCTGTGTCCAGGCCATCACCTTGTTCAAACATGATGTGATAACGGCCTGGACTGAATCTATCTTGAAGCCATCAGAGATCTGTGGCTTGTTCCTGGGCGTTGACTGTGGTCACTGGGACATTTACTCTGACTGGAATGTCACATTCCCTGACACACCAAAGCCCCCTGTCACCCCCCACAAACCACCCAGCCCTGGTTCTCCAGTCACAAGGGTATTGTTTCTCACAGATATTCACTGGGACAAGGATTACATCCCAGGAACTGACCCTGACTGTCAAGACCCCTTGTGCTGCAGGAAGGGTTCCGGTTTACCCCCAAAACATCGGAAAGGAGCTGGTAAGTGGGGTGCATACAGCAAGTGTGACCTTCCCCTCCACACCATCGAGAACCTTCTCCAGCATCTCCAATCTGAACACTTTGACCTGGTCTACTGGACAGGGGATATTCCAGCTCATGATGTCTGGCACCAGACCCGGAAAGACCAACTCGGGGCCCTCAACACCATCACCAGACTCATCCGGAAGTACCTGGGCCACATCCCTGTCTACCCAGCCGTCGGCAATCATGAGACCACGCCAGTCAACAGCTTCCCCCCTCCCTTCGTCCATGGTAACGAGTCCTCTGCCTGGCTGTACGACGCAATGGTGCAGCTCTGGAAATACTGGCTGCCTGAGGAAGCTCAAGAAACTCTCCGGTAAACAAGAATCTGAGCAGAAGGAGGGGAGTGCAGGCTGGGTCCTTCCATATTGTAAGGCTTTCTCATCTTGGTGGGTGCATTTCCCCTCGACATAGTGAGGAGATGGTTCCTTATAGTCTCCATGTTACCAGACAGTGCAATGTTCTCTGATACAGGCCTTCCAGCAGTGCAGAACTCCCTAACTGCTGACCTCTGGAAATGTGGCAAAAATTGTTCAAATAATCTTTCAGCCAATAGGCAAGGAGTTTGACGAACAAGGCAGATGAGTTGAGGGTATAAATTAAAACATAGGTCATGATATCATGGCTGTCACTGAGATATGGTTGACAGAGGGACGGGATTGGCAGCTTGGTATTCCAGGATACATCAGTAAGCTTTGCACGGTCAGGAAGGCGAAGGCAAGGTCATGGCCAGCATGAGGCACAGTCCGAGTGAGTATATAGTTTGGGGGCATTGGAGGCAGCGCAGGAATTTGGTGCAGAGGGAAGGAGGTGCTTTTTGCTTCTTTTGGCTCATAGTTTGTAAGGTTTTGTTTTAAACAGGATAAATAGAAACCCAGGATCAGGGGCTTACCCCAAAAGAGTGATATCACAGGTAAACCATAAGTTCAGTGGTTGGTGATAGCTGTTAATTTGATTGTCTATTACATGTTACTTTCAAATTGAAGGTAAATAGGGGAAATATTTATAGATTACCATCTAAAAGACTAAAAAGTGCAACATTTTTAAAAATTGAACTAAGTAATTAGAATAGAGATGCCGGGCCAGGCAATGTGTTCTCATTGCATGATGTGAGTTGGTGGATTCTGTTGTGATTTTAGAGTCCATTGTTGAGATTGTGGAGTACTTGGAAGTGCACGGTAAAATAGGGCTGAGTCAGCACGGCTTCATCAAGGGGTGGTCATGCCTGACAAATCTGTTAGAATTCTTTGGGGAGCAAGTTAGACAAAGCAGAGGCAGTGGATGCGATCTGTTTGGATTTCCAGAAGGGCTTTGCAAGTTGCCACACAGGAGGCTGCTACATAAGAAGAATGCCCATGGTGTTACGAGCAAGGTACTGGCATGGACAGAGGATTGGCTGACTGGCAGAAGGCAGAGAGTGTGGATAAAGGGATCTTTTTCAGGATGGCAGCTAGTGATTCGTGGAGTTCCGCAGAGGTCAGTGTTGGGATCACAACTATTCACGTTATACCTTAATGATCTGGATGTAGGAACTGAAGGCATCGTTGCTAATATTACAGATGACACAAAGATAGGTGGAGGGATAGGTAGTATTGAAGAAGCTGGGAGGCTGCAGAAGACTAGGACAGGCTGGGAAAATGGGCAAAGAGGTGGCGAATAGAGTACAATATGCAAAAGAGTGAGATTATGCACTTTGGGAAGAATGGAGGCTTAGACTATTGGTTAAACCTGGAAAAGCTTTGGAAATCTGAAGTGCAAAGAGACATGGTGATTCCTAGTTCAGGATTCTCTTAAGGTTAATGTGCAGGTTCAGTTGGCAGTGAGGAAGGCAAATGCAACATTAGTGTTCATCTCAAGAGGGCTAGAATACAAGAGCAGGGATGTACTGCTGCGGCTGTATAAGGCTCTGGTCAGGCCGCGTTTGGAATATTGTGAGCAGTTTTGGGCCCCGTATCTAAGGAAGGATGTGCTGGCCTTGGAGGGGTCCAGAGGAGGTTTATAAGAATGACTCCAGGGATGGAAGGGCTTGTCATATGACGTGTATTTGAGGACTTTGGGTCTGTACTTGATGGAATTTAGAAGGATGACGGGGGGGGGGATCTGATTGAAACTTACAGAATACTGAGGGCCCTGGGTAAAATGGGCACGGAAAAGATGTTTCTACGAGGAGGAGAGACTAGGACCCAGCGTCAGGCTGAAGGGACGACCCTTTAGAACTGAGATGAGGAGGAATACCTTCAGCCAGAAGGTGGTGAATCTGTGGAACTCATTGCCACAGAGAGCTGTGGAGGCCAAGTCATTGAGTGCATTTAAGAGAGAGAGCAGCTCTTGGTAATGGGGTTGGAAAACATATCAGCCATGGCTGAATGGCTTATTTCTGCTATATCTTATGATCTTATAGAGAGGAAAATAATTTTTGCTGTTGATGGAGGGATCAATGACTAGGGGATATAGATTTAAGGTAATGGGCAGGAGGTTTAGAATGGACATGATGAAAACCTTTTTCACCCAGAGGGTGGGACTCTGGAACTCACTGCCTGTAAGGGTGGGAGAGGCAGAAACCCTCAGAACATTGACAAAGTATTGAGATGTACATTTGTGATACCTAATCAGACAGGGCTATGGAACAAGTGCTGGAATATGGGTTCAGAATAGTTAGGTGGTTGTTTTTGACCAGTGCAGACTTGATGGGCTGAAGGGTATTTTTCTGTAGATCTCTGACTGTATGACTGAAGCTGCTTTGGCCCAGGAAGGGTGCAGCAGCCTGACTCTCCTGTTCCTGTAAAGTTGGGCAGGTTGAGAATGGTCATTGTGGTGGGGTGAGGTTATCCCAGCATTCATAGCAGTGACTAAGTCCGCCTGTAATTTTATGGAAACACATTATATATGTGGTGGTTCGCACAATTGTTCAGACCATGTGGGTGTGGGAGAAGTGGGGTGCAATGTGTAGAGTCCAGCTGTGGGGAAGTGGAGGCTGATGGAGGTAATAATTCTCTCAGTCCAGGGAGGCCCTGGGCAGTTTGGAGAGTTCTCTGCTTGTTGTTTACTGTGTTTTACTCACTCAGGAAAGCGGGCTTTTACACAGTGAAGCTCAAGCCTGGACTGCGACTTGTTTCACTCAACATGAACTTCTGTTCCCATGAGAACTTCTGGCTGTTGGTGAACTCGACCGATCCAGCTGGCCAGCTGCAGTGGCTGGTCAGCATCCTGCAGGAAGCAGAGGACAGCGGTGACAAGGTAACGAAAGAGTGGGCCCAGGCAGCCAGTACAGACCAGCCCCGTGCAATTGATGTGAGAGTTAGTGAAGACCTAGGGAGACCAAACCAATTTGGTTGTAACAGATCTGTAACAGAGTAACAGATTTCAAAGGGTGCACGTAGCTCTGATGAAGCAGTTAGTTCTTCAGGAAGTAGAATTTTGTTCAATGCTTCAACGTGAAAAACAATTTACAACAGAAACATGCCTCCCTCAGGGAGGAGGGTTAGTTATAGAAGAATGGGGCTGGAGAAGTTGCAGGTTGTAATGGAATTGGTCAGTGAAAATAAGGAATAGAAAACAAAATAGGAACAGGAGTAGGCCCAAAAACAGAAGTTGCTGCAAGAGCTTAGATGGTCTGGCAGTATCTGTAGAGAGAAATCAGTTAACATTTCGGGTCCAGTGACCCTTTCTCAGAACTGGAACCGAAACGTTCACTCTGATTTCTCTTCACAGATGCTGCCAGACCTGCTGAGTTTTTCTAGCAACTTCTGTTTTTGTTTCTGATTTACAATTAAAATCAATACATCCTCTGTCTCTATAGCCACCACTTTTTAATTTACAGGTTGTCATCTCCAGGGGATTTACAGGGTCTGCAGGTCCTTCGGATGTAAACAGGAGTAGACCATTTGGCCCCTCAAGACTGCTCCTTCATTGAAGTAGATAATGGCTGATCCACCTTTACTGTGACTCCCCACACTAGCTCCATGTCCCATATGCACTTGGTGCCCACAAATCAATGGCTGCCTAATTGGATGACATCAGTTACTGAGAACTCCAATGATTCATGGTCCTTTGCGTTAGCAGATTTCTCCCTGCCTTAGTCCTAAACGACCAGTACCATATTCTGCAACACCTCTGCAGATCACCCCTCCGATTGCTCAAGCAGCGGAATATCCTCCTAGCATCTAGCCTGTGAAAGCCATGAAGAATGTTATCTTTCAGATTACTCATTCTTCTGGCTCAGTGGAGATTACAAGAGGGCAGTCAAGACCAGCACCAGGCTGAGCGAGAATTGAGGTGCCGACCTGGTGAAGCTACCAAACAGGACTATTTGCACACCAAACAGCATAAGCAGCAAGTAATAGACAGAGCTAAGCAATCCCACAATGGCTTTAAAAAAAACGGCTTTCAACTTGAAACATTAACTCCATTTACAAGCATTGACATTTGTGGTATTTCCAACACTTTATTTTTGTTCTTGAGGGAGAGCCCAGCTCGTCAGTGCATTTGCAGCAATCTTCAGCCAGAAGTACCAGGTGGATAATCTGTCTCATCCTTCAGACGTTTGCAGTGTCACAGATGAGTTTTCAGACAATTGATTCACTCCCATGATATCAAGAAGCAGCTGGAGGCACTGAATACTGCTCCAGAATTTGCCATTCCCCAAGCCAAGCTCCTCCAGTGCAACTGCAACACTGGCATCTACCTGAGAATGTGGAAAATTGCCTAAATATCTCCTGCACACACAAAGCAGGACAAATCCAACCCGGCCAGTTACTGCCCCATCAGCCTCCTCTCGATCATCAGTAAAGTGATGGAAGGTGTCGTCCTCAATGCTGTCAAACAGCGCCTGCTCACTGACACCCAGTCTGTATAATATTCACGCCACACAAATGCCTGGCACTGACCATATTCAATAAGAGACAGTCTAACTACTGTCCCTTGACATTGAGTGATGTTATCGTCACTGAATCCCCAACAGTCAACATCCTGGGGGTTACAACTAACAAATTTAACAAGACTTGCCATGTACAAGGAGTCCCTGGATTGCAAACAGGATCCATTCTAGCGTTCATTCGCAAGTTGTTTTGCACACAAGTGGGAACGTAATGCAGGACAGTGTAAAGTAGCTGTTTGTAAGTACAGGAAACGTCCTTATCATAGAATCCCTACAGTGTGGAAACGGGCCCTTTGGCCCAAAAAGTCCACACTGACCCTCAGAGCATCACACCCAGACCCATCCCCCTATAAGCCACCTAATCTACACATCCCTGAACACTATGGGCAGTTTAGCATAGCCAATCCACCTAGCCTGCGCATCTTTGAACTGTGGGAGGTAACCAGAGCACCCGGAGGAAACCCACACAGCCTGAGGGTGGAATCGAACCTGGGTCCCTGACTCTGTGAGGCAGTAGTGCTAACCACTGAGCCACCATGCTGCCCTTATGGCAGGTTTTTAAAATTACACCCTATATGGGATTGCATTCATAAGTCGGAGGTTCATAAATTGGAGACCCCTTGTGGCTACAAGAGCGGGTCAGAGGTTAGGAATCCTGTATCAAATACTTACCTCCTGACTCCCCAAAGCCTGCCCACCATCTACAAGGCACAAGTCAGGAGTGTGATGGAATACTCCCCACTTGCCTGGATGGGTGCAGCTCCAACAACACTCAAGAAGCTTGACACCATTCAGGACAAAGCAGCCTGCTTGATTGGCACCACATCCACAAACATCTACTCCCTCCACCATCGATGCTCAGTAGCAGCAGTGTGTACTATCTACAAGATGCACTGCAGAAATTCACCAAAGATCCTCAGACAGCACCTTCCAAACCTACGTCCACTTCCATCTAGAAGGACAAGGGCAGAAGATACATGGGAACACCTGCAAGTTCCCCTCCAAGTCACTCACCATCCTGATTTTCCAGGAACTGAGTAGATTCTAGCACAGTCCACACACTCGTCTCTGTTACCCCGTGTTGTGTCTTTCCCCAGGGGAATTATAATTCCTAATTTGGGATTATTGGAGCAGGATAGGCCATGTTTCAATCCACAGAGAATGTTATTGAATCCAGGCAATTCTGGACAATTAAAATTCAATACATCCTCTGTCTGTATAGCCACCACTTTTCAATATACAGATTGTCATCTCCAGGGGATTTAATCTTATTATTTTCTCCATGTTTAAATTAATATTTATTTGTTTAAGTTCCTCACACTGGCCAGATCCTTGGTTCCTAAATTTCTCTTTTTTTTTGTGTGATTTCTATCAGAAGACATGCAGGACCCTTTTTTAAATATGTCTGCCTTTTCCATTTATAGCCTGTTATAATTTCTCCTCTGACTGTCTAATCGATCAGTTCAACACCTCTCCTTGTTGCACACTGAGTTGCGTTAGTTCTGGTGGGTTTGTTGTTTTGCAAATTTCCTGTTGCTGTGCTCAGTAAAGGCTGTGGTGTGACAATCGGCTGATTGTGACACTCTAGAAAGATGTTGGTTTAGTGTGTTTTAATGTTGTGGTTTCTCACTGACGTTTCGAGATGGAAAGCAGCATCTCTGATGCCTGCGGCTTCACCAAGAGAGATGAAATGTTTCATTATCTCCCTTAAAACATCTTGTACACAATGGTCAGCTGAGAAATACAGGAATATCCAGTTTGGTGAACAAGGAGGGAAAGGCTTTGGCAGACTCCATGTTGAGTACAGTTTGGGTTTTAAGGAGTGGATGAGCAGGGATGGCTGTGCTGCTGCTTGTGACTCTTGGTGCTGGAAGGTCTGCTGTTAGTGTCAAGCTTATCGCTTGGAGCTCATCTGCAACTGCTTTGTCATATACGTCATCCAGCTATGTTGTGGCTGACTCTTTTTTTCTGCTTTTCTCCACTTTGCCCTTGAGAAGAAAGATCTCTTCAGTTCTGATCAAGTGGCTGGTGTTTTCTTGCTATCCGTTTTGAGAGTTCTTTCTACTCTTGCAATTTCAAACACCACTGTGTCTTAATTGTTTTATAATCTGTACATGGAATTTCTAAGCGTCTGTCTCAACATCCATTTATTGGACTGGTGTAATAGTCTTGTTACTGGATTAGTGATCCAGAGAGCCAGGTAATGGTCTGGAGGCTATGGCAGATTGTTGAAATGGAATTTTTTTAAAGACTCGAATCTGATGTATCATAGGCTTTTCATGGAGAAGATCCTCTCTGGTCACAGGTGGTGAGAGATCAATAAATTCTGGTCCAGCCAACAACACCCACATGCCGTGAATCAATAAAAAGAATCCACATTTCACAGTTACTTCTTCTAAAGATCTTTCCTCATGATCAGGTTTCCAAGGCACCAGGAAAGTGGATAGATTGTGGAATCTTATGAGATTTTTCTCCTTGTTACAAGCTCGAGTTTCCTTCCAGTTACCATGTCCTTTGTCTTTACAAAATTTCTTCTGGCTGTCTCTATCTTTCTCACTTCTATATCATTCTGCTACCTCCTGATATCGTTTGTCAACAGACAAACTTCAACATTCATGCTAGTTTCTTCCCATGTATTCCTTCATTGTGTTTGTCTTGTCAGTGTTCAGACTTAGTCCTTGTTGTAAACTGTTTAATTTCACTTGATTGATGATATATTGTGATGTCTCTTCTGATTCCGAGATTAGACTGATAGGGCTTGTACTGTTCTAGGGCAGATGCTCAATATGATCTGTTGTTGACCATTCCCCTTTACAGTTGTGTATAGAATCTCACCAACATTTCAAACTATTGTTGTTACCCTTCAAGGTTCACATCATCGGTCACATCCCACCGGGTCTCTGCATGAAGGTTTGGAGCTGGAACTATTACCGAATTGTGAATAGGTAGGTGAGACCTCACCACTATATCCTCTTGACCTCTTCACTCTATCTCTGCAATCCCCAACATGTTCACCGTCCCTAACCCCTCACATTGTTCCCTCACATTGTTCCCTCACATTGTTCACTCTCATTCTTCCCCTCGCTCTCTCCATTCTTCCCCTCGCGCTCTCCATTCTCCCCACCCCCTCACACACTCTCCCTTTTCCCCCCCCCCCCCCCGCGCCCCGGCCCCCTTTCCCCCCCCCACTTTGCTCAATCACATCCTTTCCCCACTCCCCCCAGTCTGCCCACCTTGTCTTGCTGCCCTCCCACTCTGTTGGCCACCTGTGCGGTCTCACTGTCGATTCGCTAACCTTGTCCTTGCTGTCCCAGGTATGAGGGGACCATTGCTGCCCAATTTTTTGGTCATACCCATGTGGATGAGTTTGAGGTTTTTTATGATGAGGAGACTCTGAGCCGTGCAGTGTCTGTGGCTTTCATTGCCCCAAGTATCACAACTTACATCAACCTCAACCCAGGTACGTGGGGTACCTGTGCCAGCGGGGGTGGGGGGGTGTGGGGGAGAGAGGTGGTGCAGGGGAATGTGTGCTGTGGGAGGGGTAGACTGTACTCAACTTGGGTGCAGGGGTGGTTTATACAGCCCACTGCATAGTGCTCCAATGTGAGTCTGTATCTGGTCCTGATCTGTATGTAACTCGAGTCACATAGCAATGTGGTCGATTTTAACAATAACTGGGTCTCAGTTGCTCGTCTCGTGCCCTCAAGGCTGTTGGGAAACAAATTGAAGATTTTATGACAATCCCGTACCTTCACTTTAACCAAATTCAACAGTTCACAATTAAACTCAAATTCTCCAAGTGCCTGTGTGGTGTTTGAACCCGTTACCTGGAATATTCCAGTAACAAATACTGCTCGTGTAGCTCGTTCTTTTAAAAAGAAAACCTTGTTATTCCACAGGGTTTCGGGTTTACCAGATTGATGGGAATTATCCAGCAAGTTCACATTCGGTGCTTGACCATGAGACCTACATCCTGAACCTGACCGAGGCCAATGAGAGAGACAATCCCAGGTGGGTTTTCCTGTATAGGCTCCGGGAGACCTATGGGATCAAGACTGCGTTTCCAGTCGATATGGACAATCTGATCAGCCAGTTCCTGCTCGATGACCGTCTCTTCCAGAGGTACTGGTTCCTGTACCACAAGGGCCACACTGACCAACCATGTCAGCAAGCCTGCAAGACCGCCACCATCTGTGCCCTTCGCACGGGCAGAGCAGATGACCCTGCGCTCTGCAAGGACCTTCACAACAAAGTGACATACAGGGAAACACAGAGCCTCTGGAGGCAGCGGAGAATGTGCTAAAATCTCGGCCCATCATCTGAAACAATTCCCTCATAGATTTTATCGTTGCTTTAAGTTCACGGACATCCAATGAATCCCGATGACTGCTGGGCACAGCTGACTGGACATTGACTGACTAGCATCAGAGTGGACAGGACTGGCTGGACACTGACTGCCTGGACAGGGCTGTCTGGACACTGGCATCAGAGTGGACAGGGCTTTCTATGTCCTATGCTGAATGTAGAGCAGTCGGACAGTGCTCGTGTACACTGTGTGTTAGTAACTGGCTGGCTAATGATGTTGCCAAGGTGAGGGTTGAACCACATACAATCACGGGCTAACAGTGGTGTGGTAATGATTGTAGAAAACCCCCGACATCCTCTCACTTAACAAACCCTGAGGCTCTCCAGATTGCTCTCGTCACTTTCCCTCACTGTGTCCTGTTAACTCCCTGAGGTGAGCCATCTTTACTCTGCTCCTTGACAGTAGCATTCTGAAGGAGGCTTTTTATTCTGACCCGGTCTTTCGGTTTGATCATGGCTGATCTGAATTTTAATTCCAGTTGGCCCCTAGAATCATAGCCTTTTTAATGAGAGAATTTCACATTCTTTTCCCCTGTGATGATCCACATTGTTCCTTTAAGCAGATGAATCAGGAGCCTGGGAAATCCTACAATGATATGCTTTCAGGTGCTCTGAGCATTGGTCAGGGAGAAATTTTGGGACAGTATAGAGAAGTTTTACTTTGTAGCTAACCCTGTGCTCTACCTGTCATGGGAGTATTGAAGTATATTTTGTTGTCCCTGCACTATGTCCTTCACTTTAATGAACTGTAAAATTTGCACAATGACAGGTTTTGCACATTGTGTATCTGGGCAGATGTGAAATGTAACGGTTTGTGTTACTGTGCTGCCGTGTATGAAGGGAGTGTTGTGGTTGGTGTGTGTAATGATTCTTTATCATGGCTCCGTAGCAATGCAATAAACAGGTTTGTGTCTCAATTTCTGACTTGTTTCCGGCACTGATGGACTATTGAAGTCGACTGCTTTTGACTGTAGAAGAGTAATATTGGACTCTGAACCGTGGCAGGATTTGAACCTGGGTCCCAAGAACATTACCTGGGTCTCTGTATTAAAAGTCTCACAATAATACCACTAGGCCTTCACTTCCCGTTGACTCGAAATATTAATTCTGTTTCTCTCTCCACAGAGGCTGTTGAGTTTCTCCAGCACTTTGTTTTTATTTCAGATTTCCAGCATCCTTGATGTTTTACTTTAGTCTTCATGTTTAATTCACTGCCACTTATCTTTCAGAAATGCTGATCTTGAAGCTCTGCTCTTCTCTCTGGGATTTCTGTTTCTCACTTTCATCTTGTTCAGCTTCATTGCCTTCTGTTCCCCTCTGGGTTTTTTTATAAAGTGTCCAGGTATTAAGGAATACAAGCTCCAAAAACTTGCAGGTACCAATGCCTCTCTGGATCCTTCCTCCCCTTCCCTCCCAATCCCATCCGTTCACCTCTTGTCAGGTACACGGTCCACCCTCTGACCTTCCACTCTCTGACCTAACAAATTGTACTTAGTAAAGGATTTGTGTGATGAAGGCTGTATAATTTACATATTTTAATTCCATACTTGAAATTTGAATTTCAGATAGAGGCAGATAGTGTTAGCTACTTCTGTGAAGAGTTTATTTAAAAAGGCAGAGTTTCTTTTGGAACAATAACTCAATCCATCATTTGTCAAACAGCAGGTGACTATAGACCAATGTGAAAATGGAAAATTGTTTACACTGTGGAGTTTATGACCAATGGAGTAATTCAGAAGAATCTAAGACTGAGCGAAGTTTTTCTTTAAGTCAGTTCAGAAGACGTCAGGATTGAGTTTTTATTCCCACCTAGAAGGGGTTCAGGGAACCTGTTACATCATAGATTCATACAGTGCAGAAAAGGTCCTTCGGCCCACCAAGTCTGCACTGACATAGCTACCACTAAAAATGCGCTAATCCCAATTTCCTGCAATTGTCCCATATCCATGAATGTTATGATATTTGAAGGGCTCAGCCAATTGTTTTTATAACGTTTCCAGTTTCCACGAGCTTCCCAGGCAGTGCATTCCAGATTCCCACCACCCTCTGAGTGAAAACGTATATTCCAAAATCCCCTCTGAATCTCCTGCTCCTTACCCTAAAACTGTGCTCTCTCATGATTGACCCCTCAAACAAGTGGAACAGCTGCTCTCTATCTATCTTGTCCATACCCCTCATAATCTTACACACGTCGATCATGACCCCCTCAGTCTCCTCTGATCTAAAGAAAACAATCCGAGCCTCTCCTTATAGGTCAGTTTCTCCATCCCAGGAAACATCCTGGTGACCCTCTGACCAACCCATCATTCAGTGTTTAGTTTGTGAATCTTGCAAACCGAGAGCTTGGTAAGAACCTGCAGGTTATTGAATGTTCAGGCTCTCAGATTTGTGAAAAATTTTATATCAGTATATTTGAGAAGCACTCACTGAATGGTCTGTACAGTCCATGGCAAAAAAATTTGTCAGGAATCAGTGAAATGGAAACTTAAGAGCTGAGATATGGCTGTAATTTCTCTTGACTTTAAATTCTATGGTTTTTGTCAGAAAATGGATTGAGACTTTTTTTTCTGTGTGCTAAGATCATTATAAATAGCTTGGTTAATTGTATTTCTTTTGTGCAATAAATTTATGTTCTGTTGCCAAAACAGATCTTCGACAAGTTGAGTGAGTGGGCAAATGCATGGCAGATGAAATTTAATGTGGACAGATGTGAAGTTATCTGAATGGTGCCGTTTGGGAAGGCGAAAGGTGCAACAAGACGTTGGTGTATGTTAGATCTCATAGTTTCCAATGAGAGTCCGAGTTGCAGGGTGGCATCAGGTAACCTTTATTGCAGCTTTATTTTCAGTACAGCTTCATTTCTCTGGAGAAATAAGGCACACAAAAAGTTTCTAAGTCGCTTATTTTATACAGCTTAAGCTTAAAGTGGACACACAGCCTACCCCACTCGCCCGCTTTGTTTACTATAAGTCAGCAGTGCTGACTTGTCCCTTTGCAACTGAGCTGTTTTGTTCTGAACCCAAAGTAAGTACTGCCACACTTGGCAATTTCAGTGTATTTCTAATTAAGCTAATCATATCACTGAATTATAAAGAGATGGACAGGTTTGTGGTCTACCCCCAATCCTACATGGTTTCATGATGTTACCAGAATCTCTTCTCTCCCTGTAATGAAATGGGGGCTACTTTTACTGTCTGGAACTGGTTTGAATCTTTTCTTCTAATGCTTTTTTTTGTATATAGGTGGATCTATAACTACTTTGGAATCTATAATCTATGATTATTTGAAGAATCTTTACTAAAACCTACTCTAACCATTGTAACAGATTAAATAATACAAGAGAAATTTACTTATTAAATGTCTTATCTATGTCTTGCGTGTTAACAATTGCTGCTGCACATTCTATCTCAGTCCAGTAACCTTGAGTCTACAGAGCTAGTATTGTTCTAGTTGTGAAGATTATGTAAAGCAAATGTTTTCCCAAGGTCTTTAACTATTGTCAGCCATATTCTGCTGCACTAACAATGGGTAGCCATCGGCCATTTTGTGCTACTCAGTCATGGGCAGCCCTAACAGTGTACACCAGATGCTGAAAGTAACAATGTAAAAATTAGGAGCAGGAGTAGGCAATTCAACCCCTCGAGCCTGCTCCACCATTATGACCATGGCTGATCTCATTTCATTTTCCTGCCTGCTCCCCACAACTCTTTAACCCATTACTAATTAAAATCTGTTTTCTCAGATTTGTTCAGTGTCCAAGCATCCATTGCACTCTGGGCTGGTGAATCGCACAGATTGATGATCCTTTGAGAAATGTACCTCCTCCTCTATCTCTGTTTTAAATCCCCCCACATCAGACTAAACTATGATCTCTCATTCTAGATTACCCCATAAGGGGGGATCATTGTTCTACTATGTCATAGAGTTTGCAGCACAGAAAGAGGCACCATCAGCCCATTGTGTACATGCCAGTCATCAAACATCCATGTATTCTAATCCCATTTTTTCAGCTCTTGGCCCACGGCGTTGTTATAACCTGTCATTTCAAGTGTTCATATAGTTTTTAAATGTCTTGAGGGTTCCTGTCTCCATCATCCTGTTAGGCACTGAGTTCCAGATACCCCCAACCCTTGAGTGAAAGAGCTGTTCTTCAAATTCCTTCAAAATCACCTGCACTTTCCCTTGAAACTGTGCCCCTGGTTATTGACACTTCTTTGAGAAATGTTTCACCCTATCTCCCCTAGGATTTGGAAATTGGGCCCCCTTTAAAACTCTGTGTGCTTTTGGTATTCCAAAGTTACCATTTTCTAGGTAGCATGAGATCACATTCAACTGTTACAGTAGTAACTAACCTTCTACAGCATAAACAAAAGATTTATCAGTTCTCGTTAGCATCTTGTTTACCTCAATTTTATCTCCTGTCATTTTTCAAAGCTCTACCAAGTATAGGCCTAAATAGTACACAGGTGCTGCAGGTGTATTTTTTCATTCATTCATAAAACATGTCATCACCGTCTGGTCCAGCATTTAATACCCGTCCCTAGTTGCCCCCTTGAGAAGGTAGGGGTGAGCTGCCTTCTTGAACCGCTGCAGTCCATGTGCTGCTGGCAGATCCACAATGCCCTTGGGGAGATTTCCAGGATTTTAATCAAGCAATAGTGAAAGAATGGGGATATATTTCCAAGTCAGGATGGTGAGTGGCTTGGATGGGGATCTTGGAGGGGATGGTGTTCCTGTGTATCTGCTGCCCTTGTCCTTCTACGGTAGTCATAGGTTTGGACGGTGTTGTCTAAGGATTTTTTAGTGAAGAAGGCAAAGGTATGTTTACTTTCGTGGTGAGACAATTCAAGTACAGGAGCAGGGATGTCTTGGGCTGGGTATTCTGTGCAGTTTTCATCTGCTTACCTGAGGAAGCAAGGGAGTGCCATGAAAATTTACTAGACTGATTCCTGGGGTATGAAGAGACTCTGATCAGTTAGGAGTATATTCGCTGGAGCTGATTAGACTGAGGGGTGATCTCATAGAAATCTATAAAATCCTAAGAGGACTAGGACAGGGTAAATGCAGGAAAGATGTTCCCAATGATTGTACAGAAGTATGGATCACAGTCTAAGGATACAGAGTGCACACTGTAGGACTGAGCTGAGGAGAAATGTCTTCACCCAGACTGTGGTGAACCTGTAGAATTCTCTGCCACAGAAAGTGTTTGAGGCCAAAACACAATGTTTTCAAGGAATTAGATTAGATAAAGGGATCAAAGTACATAAAGAGAAAAAGGAAAAGGGAACTGGGTTCAGTGACAACTATGATCACACTGAATGGTGGAGTAAACTTGAAGAGGTGACTGGCTAACTCCTGCTCCTATTTTCTATGTTTCTGTCTGCACCCTTGTGTGACTGTCTCAATGATGAACTACCACACTGGCTACGATCTATTAAGGCAGACTCCACTCTGGGATCTGACATGTCCTTTGGTACCGTCAGCTAGAATCAGAACACACTGTTTTATCCTCCTGCACCCACCACCTCAATGATCATAGAACATAGAACAGTACAGCAGAGTACAGGCCCTTTGGCCCACAATGTTGTGCTGACCTATTATCCTACCCCAAGATCAAACTAACCTGCATGAATTTCAAATGAATTTCAGACAAGGCACAATGGTGAACTCTTCTTTCATTGCCTTGTATCTGTGCCTACTTCCTGGGCCAGGAGTCCTCTCCCTGAATCATGAACTTTCTAACCATCTTTATGATCTTTCCATTGAGAACTTGTGTATATTTAAGGCTGACGTGGATTCTTGATCAGTAGAGAATTCAAGGATTCTGGGGTAAACACAGGAAACTGGATGTGAGAAATTTGTTTGTCACTTCTATAAATTATTTGGATGAGAATATAGAAGGCATGGTTAGTAAGTTTGCAGATGTCACCAAAATTGGTGGTACAGGGGACAATGAAGAAGATTATCTAAGATTACAAAGAGATCATGATCAATTGGGTCAATGGGCTGAGAAGTGGCAGGTGGAATTTATTTTGGATAAATGCAAGGGCAGGACTTAGGAGATAGCAAGAACTGCAGATGCTGGAGTCAGAGTCAATACAGTGTGGAGCTGGAGGAACACCGGTCAGATAGCATCAGAGGAGCAGGACAATCAACGTTTCAGGTCAGGACCCTTCTTCAGGACTGGGGAGGGGGAAAGGAGCTTGGAAATAAATAGAGAGAGCAGTGGTGGGGCTGGGGAAGATAGCTCAGATGGTGATAGGTGGATGCAGGTACGGGATAATGGAGATTGTTTGGTGGGAAGGGTGGGGCGGATAGGTGGGGAAGAAAATGGACAGGTAGTGTCAGATCAAAGAGGCGGGGATGAGAGGGAGGGTTGGACGTGGGATGAGGCCAGGGACGGGGAGATTTTGAAACTGCTGAATGCTATGTTCAGGCCATCGGACTGTAGGCTCCCGAGGCAGAATTTGAGGTGCTGCTCCTCCAGTTTGCAGGTGGCGTCATTGTGGCATTGGAGGAGGCCCAAGATGGACATGTCACCCAGGAAGTGGGAGGAGAAGTTAAAATGGTTGGCAACTGGAAGGTGGTGCTGGTTATAGGGTACAGAGCGCAGGTACTTCACAAATCAGTCACTGAGTCTGCACTTGGCCTCATTGATGTAGAGGAGGCCACATCAGGAGCAGTAGATCAGGCTGGAGGATGTACAGGTGAACCCCGGCTGGATTTGGAAACTTTGTCTTCGGCCTTGGATGGGGGTGAGGGGGGAGGTGTAGGGGCAGGTGTAGCACTTCCTGCGGTTGCAGGGAAAGGTGCCCGGGCTGGTGGGGTTAGTGGGGAGTGTGGAGCAGACGAGGGAGTCGTGGAGAGAGCGGTCCCTACGGAAGGCAGATAGGGGTGGGGAGGGAAATAACTGTTTGGTGGTGGGGTCAGATTGTAGGTGATGGAAGTGGTGGAGAATGATGCCCTGGATGTGGACGTTGGTGGGGTGGTATGTGAGGACAAGGGGGACTCTGTCCTTATTTTTGTTGGGGGGAGGGATTTGAGGGCAGAAGTACAGGAAATGCAAGAGATGCAGTTGAGGGCATTCTTGATCAACTGCGGGGGAGGGGGGGCAGTCATTGAAGTAGGAAGACGTCTCGGAGTGGAACACTCCATCTTGGGAACAGATGCAGCGGAGTTGGAGGAATTGGGAGTATCAGATCACGTTCTTGCAGAAGGGTGGGTGAGAGAAGGTGTAGTCAAGGTAGCTATGGGAGTTTTGGGAATTGTATAAACAGGACTTCTCCAGTTAATAGTAGGGCCATGGATAGTGTTGCAGAACAGAGAGATCTAGGAGTTCAGGTACATAATTCTTTGGAATTTGTGTCACAGGGTCGTTAAGAAGGTGTTTAGCACATTTGCCTTCATTGCTCAGAGCTTTGAGTATAGGAATTGGGACGACATGTTGAGGTTGTACAGCACGTTGGTGAGGCCTGTTCTAGAGTAGTGTGCGCAGTTCTGGTCACTTTGTTATAGGAAAGATATTATTAAACATAGGGTTCAGAAAAGATTTACCAGAATGTTGTCAGGAGTGGAGGGTTTGAGTTATAAAAATAGACTGGATATGCTGGGACATTTCCACTGGAGCATAGGAGGTTGAGGATTGACTGTGTAGAGGTTTATAACATCGTGAGGGGCATAAGGGGAATAGCAGTGGTCTTTTGCCATTGTATGATCCCAGCTTGTGATAATTCTAGACCAGTTGGATTCTGGAATGAAAACTGGCTTGCTAGATTAAATTACAAGGCTGTAGATGTTGTTTCTAACAACAAAACACAAAAAAGAAACCAAGCAAACCAATCTCTTTCTGTCTGTTTGTGTGTGTGTGTGTGTATTACAGTTAAAAAGATCTTAAAATGTCAATGCAAAATTTCAAACTGTTTCCCAACACCACCCGCTACAGAGATTCAAGTCCAGGAAAACTTTCCATTCCAGCACTTTCGAGACTCTGGACTCAACACTGAGTTCAATAATTTCAGAGTCTGAACTCTGTCCCTATTTTGTTTCCCCTGACTTTCATCTTCGCTGTCCAGTATTCATAGTTTGTTTTTGGCAAAGTTACATAGAACAGTACAGCATACGAATAGGACCTACAGTCCACGATACCTTTTTTAAACTAGTCCCATCTGCCTGGACATGGTCTGTATCCCTCTATTTCCTACCTGTTTATGTGTTTGTCTAAATGCCTCTTAAACGTTGCTATTGCATCTGCTCCCCCTGGCAGCATGTTCCATGCACCTATCATCCTCTGTTTAAAAAAAATTCTTCCCTGGCACATCTCCTCTAAACTTTTCCCTTCTCACCTTAAACCTATGTGCCCTAGTATTTGACATTTCCACTCTATCCATACCTCTCATAATTTTATGTGCTTCTATCAGGTCGCCCCCTCAGCCTCTGACAGTCAACCGAAAAACTATCCAAGTGTGTCCAACCTCTCCTTATAGCTAATAGACTCCAATCCAGGTAACATCCTGGCAAACCTCTTTTTCACCCTCTCCAAAGCCTCCACATTCTTCCAATAGTATGGTGACCACAACTGCGCACGTTACTCCAAACGTGGCCTAACTGAAGTTTTATTCACCTACAACATGACTTGCCAACTTTTAGATTCATTGCCCCAACCAGTGAAGGTAAGCATGCTGTATAACTTCTTTACCACCTTATTCACTTGTGTTGTCACTTTCAGAGAGCTATGGACTTGCATCCTGAGATCTCTCTGTATATCAACATTCCCAAGGGTCAATTACTGTACAGTTTCCTCTTGTATTTGAACTCCCAAAATCCATCACCTCTCACTTGTCCAGATTAAATGCTATCTGCCATTTCTCTGCCCAACTTTTCAACAGATCTATATCCTGCTGCATTCTTTGACAACCTTCCTCACTATCCACAACTCCACCAATTTTCGTGTTGTCTGCAAACTTCTAATTAGACCACTGATAATTTAATTCAAATAATTTATATATATTACAAACAATAGAGGTCCCAACATTGATCCTTGCAGAACACCACTGGTCACGGACCCCCAGTCAGAAAAACATTCCTCCACGACTACCCTATATCTTTTATGACGTACACATACCAGCTCACCCTGGATCCCATGTGACTTAATCTTCAGGACCAGACTACCATGAGGGACCTTGATGCTTTAGTAAAGTCCATGCAGACAACATCCACTGCCTTACCCTCATCAATCATCTTTGTCACTTCCCCAAAACATTCAATCAAGTTTGTGAAAGCTATGCTGCCTATCCCTAGTATTTCCAAAATGCAAGTAAATCCTGCCCCTAAGAATCTTCTCTAATAATTTCAACAACATTGGCTATTCTCCAGACTTCTAGGACCTCACCTGTGGCTAAAGAGGATACAAAGATGTCTCTCATGTCCCCAGCAATCTCCTGTTCAGAGGAAAGGTCATTCGACCTGAAATGTCAACTGTGTTTTCTCTCCACAGATGCTGCCAGACCTGCTGAGCTTTTCCATCAATTTCTGTTTGTTGTTTCTGACTTACAGCAGCCAAAAATCATATGGTTTTTACCCAGCAGTCTCCTCCCTTGTTTCCCTTAGTATCCTGGGATAGATCCCATCAGGCCCTGAGACCTATCTAGCTTAATGTTTTTCAATGAACCCAACACCACCTCCCTCTTAATATTTACATGCTCTAAAATATCAAAATACCCCTCCCCAATCTTACCATCACCCATGTTCTTGGTGAATACTGATGCAAAGTATGCATTAAGGGCCTCACTCACTTCCTCTGTCCTGGTGTAATGACAACAATCTCTCCCTCAGTGTCAGCAAAATGAAGGAGCTGGCCATCGAATTCAGGAGCACAGTGGAGTACACACCCCTGCTGTGTCAGTGGTGCTGAGGTGGAGGTGGTCGAGAGCTTCAAGTTCCTAGGAGTAAATATACCAACAATCTGTCCTGGTCCATTCACATTGATACTACAGTCAAGAAAGCTCACCAGCGCCTCTACTTCCTCAGGAGGCTAAGGAAATTTGGCATGTCCTCAATGACTCTTACCAAGTTTTATAGATGCACCATAGAAAGCATCTGGCAACAGCCAATCCTACTGAGTTTCTACAGCAATTTCTGTTTTTCTTTCAGATTTCCAGCAAATGTGGTTTGTTGTTTTATTATCATTACCAACTATGTAGGTACTAATTAGCCACATGTTTTATTTAGAAGCACTGCAAGTCCAAGGAGAATTGTTCAATGAGCAAGAACAAGGTCAGCCAGGGGAAGGAGGGTGGTACTGCCCATGACCCCGCAATGTCCTTTGCTCCAACCCTTCCCATCTACCACCGTCTAAAAAATACAAAAACATGCATTATGCAGAAATATACATGACCCCTTCACTACCGGTACACAGAAGCAGCATCTACAAGATGCAGAGATACTGGTCATGTCCCTGGACAGTAATGGTCTGGGGACATGGGTTTTTAATCCTATCATAGCAGCTTGTCAAACTTCAATTCATTTAATAAAATCTACAAGTATAAAGCTGGTATCTACAAAGCTATAGAGTTGGATTCTGGACAGGAAAGGATTCCAGATGATGGTTGGAAACTGGGATTTGGTCTGCTGTTTCACTTTCCTGAACTTGAAGTCTGAAGCTTTGAGGCTCGGAAGGTCCAACACTGACTGATAAGTGAGCTGCATTGATTATTCGACAAAGAGAGGCACTCTCATTGGTCCTAGGTTTGACATCCTCACTGTTACTGCTCAGCTTGGGGCCCAGAGAAGAGGGGAGGAGCTCTGAGCTGAGCTGCGAAAAGGCCTCCTCTTTCATTCATTAATGTTAATTAATATGAAGGGTGTGTACTTTTCCTAACCCTATCACTTTGACATGTTGAGTGTATGATAGAATCTATATCCTGACTCCATCACCTTCATGAGGCCTGGCAATCAGGAATTTACTGCCTGTATGTTGCCAGGGCATGCCTCAGCTGCATTCCAGCAACTTTTGTGTAACAGCTGACATACTGATTACCAACTGGTGTGGGTGGAGCTCACCCTGTTTCATGCTCAGCTGGCCTCTGTTTACTGTCACTTTAACAACCTGCTGCTGGGGAGCGAGCGGTTCTGGGCCTTGTCCCATTGTTCTGGTTTGGCTGGAGAAGCTTTCCCTCCCTGAGGCTATGGTGAGACATGAACAAGTTGCGCTTCAATGTCTTCTGTCTGGATACACACAGCGATCAACAAAGAGGCACAAATTCATTGTTATAATCATAAATTGGCACAAAGTGGAGGCTAAAAAGGTGACTGGAATGCAGACAGCAATTGTAACAAGAGTATCTCACTCAGCACACAGGCAATCCACTTGCACAATTCAGCCCAAGCAATCTCATTGATTTCCAGTGATTTCAGAAGGAGGTGCTTGGACCTTGAGTAGTGTCTCAGTCAACCCACTGTGGATGCTGACCTGTGGGGGGTGCATGAAACGAGGAAGGGCACGTTGAGACCTGCAACTTATCGAGTCCTGCAGCGCATACCTGAGGTCATGGATCTGGTTCCTCTGGGATCTGGATTGTGGGTCCCCCTTCTTTTACTCACTGGAGAAAAGGCAGGGGTGTGTCAGCAGCTCCTTGTGTTGCTCACCGACGACAGCTCCCTCATCTTGGATCCGGAGGGAATCAGGGCTTATGCCTCAGCCTATAACACTGCTCTGTTCTCTCTGTCCAGTGAGGGTACTCAGAAAGTTCTGCAGTTGACCTGCCATGGAGTTAGTCTGGAGAATGGAATGAGAGGAAGGAACAGGAGTAGGTCATTCAGCCCATTGAGTCGACCCTGCCATTCTATAAAGTCATAGCTGATCTGATAATCCTCAACTCCATTTGCCTGCCTTTACCCCTTAACCTGGATTCCCTTACAGATTAAAAAAGCTCTTGATCTCAGCCTTGAATATACTTAACAATCCAGCCTCTACAACCCGCTGTGGTAAAGAATCCCAGTTTCACTCCCCTTCAAGAGATTTCTCATCTGTTTTAAATGTTTGGCCCCTTATTCTGGTCCTAGATTTTCTGCAAGGGGGAAACAATTGTTTCACATCTCTCCTGTTAAATCCCCTAAGAATCTTGTACGTTTCAATAAGATCACTTCTCATTCTTCTAAATTCTAATGAGCACGGTCCCAACCTACTCAAACTCTCCTCATAGGCCAGCCCCTCCATACCCAGGGTCAGCCGAGTGAACCTTCTCTGGTCTGCCCCAATGCTGGTCTGTTTCCTTAGATATGGGGCCCAAACTTTTCACTGTATTCCAGCTATAGACAAAGTAGTGTCTTGTCTAATTTTAGCAAATGCTCCCTACATTTTATACTCTATTACCTTGAAATAAAGGCTAACATTCCATTTGTCTTCCCTATAACCTGCTGAACTTGGATGTTAACTTTATGTGATTCATGGATGAGGACTCCCAAATCCCCCTGTTTTGTGGCTTTCTGCAGCATTTCTCCATTCTCCTCTATTCTTTCTGCCAAAATGCATAATCTCATGTTTTGCCACATCATAATCCATCTACCAAGTTTTTGCCTACTTGCTATACCTATTATCTCTATCCCTCTGCAGACTGGGTGTCATCTTGCCTTCTCACTTACTTTTGTCACCCACAAACGTGGCGAGGGCACATTCAGTACTCTCATCCATGTCATTAATAAATATTGTAAATAATGGTGGCCCCAGCACTGATCCCTGTAGCACTCCACTAGTTACAGGGTGCCATCCTAGAAATGCCCTTATCACAACTCTCTGTCTTCTATTATTTAGACAATCTTTTATCCAAGCTAACATACTACCTCCAACACCTTGGACTCTTATTAAGTAGCATCATGCATGATATTTTTATCAAACATCTTCTGAAAATGCAAACATATTACATCCACTGCTTTCTCTTTACCTATCCTGCTTGTTACCTACACAAAGAATTCTAATAAATTTATCAGGCATGGCTTCTCCTTTGTGAAGCCACATTGACTCTGCTCAATCACACTGTTTTTCAAAATGTTGTGCTATTACAGCATTTGGAACAGAGTCTAACGTTTTCTCAACATCACGCTCAATGATCCTGTCACTTTAGAAGAGTTGACTGGTAACCTCACACATCTCCGAAGGGGCAAGTCCTTCAGGGCTGGACAGGCTCACTGTGAAGGGCATTTTGGGATATCCTGGGGATTGACTACATTTGGATCCTGTTTAACAACAGTGTTGCCCCTTTCTTGGTGCAGGGCTGTTAATGTTCTCCTGCTCAAGGGACATTTGTTTACAACACAACTGGCGCTCGGTCTCACACCTCAGAACGATCACAAGATCTTCACCAAGCTATCGCCTTGGATCCAAGTCTCAGGCTGGAGGATCCACTTTTCCCAGAGGACTGATCTGTTGAGCACCCTCCTGTCCATTGACCAGAAGATATTTAACAAGGTGAAGCACGATTATCTAATTGGGATTCTGCCAGGATTTAGGTTTGGGTGCAACTTGTCACCCAGATCTGACTTCTCTACAGTGCAACGGAATATCTGATTAAAGTCAACTGGTTCCTGACGGCACCTCTTCACTTCCTGAAAGTGGCAACATTAGTGGATAAGGTGGTCAAAGCAGCAAATGGCATGCTTGTCTTCATTGGTCAGGGCAGAGTACAAAAACTGGCAAGTCATATTGCAGCTGTATGGAACTTCAGTTCAGCCACATTTGGAATATTGTCTCAGGTTCTGGTCGCCTCACAAACAGAAGAATGTGGAAGCTTTGGAGAGCGTACAGAAAGGGGTTTGCCTGGTTTGCAGGATATTAGCTTTGAGGAGAGAATGGACAAACTTGGTTTGTCTTCACTTGAACATCAAAGTTGGATAGTTGTAGTCTTTTTCTTAACATAAAAAAAGACAATTACTAGGGACTTAGGTTTAGGGTAAAAGATGTGAGAAGCTAATTTTTTTTACAGAGGGTGGTAAGTGCCTGGAATGCACTGCTAGAGGAGGTGGTGGAGGCAGGTACAATAGCAACATTTAAGAAACATCTTAACAGATATATAAATAGGCAGGGAATATAGGAATACAGATTGCCGCCACACTAAGAGTTTTCATTTAGAAAGGCATCATGTGTTAGCACAGACTTGGTGGGCCAAACAGCCTGTTCCAGTGCTGTACTATTCTTTGAAAACAGTCCCAATTTCTTCAATCTATCTTCAGTACGAAGCGCTGCATCCCTGGAACCATTCTTACAAACTCTTCTGCACTCTCTCCAAATTCTGACTGAATTGTGGTGCACAAAACTACACAATGCTTCAGCGGAAGCCTAAATAGTGTCTGTTATAAGTTTAACATCACCTCTCATGTAATTTATATCCCTCTTAATAAAGGCTTTAGTGAGAGACAGGCAAAGGTCAATACGATAGAAAGAGGAAGAGGGAAAAACAGTGTGGAGGTAAAAACATTTGGAGGGAAAAGGGAAATTGAGAAGGGGAGGAAGAAAAGTAAAAGTTATACAGGAAGAGAGGCTCAGGCTCTGACACAATAAATCATGAGGAGACACGACACTGTGACGTTTATTTTGTTAATTCACAATAACACACAGGTTAAGCCCCACAGTTTTTTCATACAATTCTGCTTTGAGAATTAATGTTAAGTTACTCAAGGAATCTATTATCCAACACAGAGAGCCCAAGGGTCAGTGTGGAACAAGTCACTCCCCCACCTCTCCAACATTTAAGGGCTGTCATGGTTTTTATGAGCCTGTGTAAGTTCAGGAGTGTAATGCATCCAGCGGCTGTTGTACGTGTGAGAGGTTAGTACCACATAAACATCCATCGCGCCCTTATAATGCTCATGGTAATTAAATCTCATTATTAATGTTTGCACATTAAGTATAGGTACAGGATGTCAATAATAAAGACATGATTTTAATGCAAACCAACATTTAAGGTAGATTGCAGGAGTCAGCATTTTTGAGCTCAGGTCACAGGAGGTTTTGGGAGGTGGGAATGGTGTTGGACAGGCAGGAACTGACTGAGTCAATATTACTACCAACATTGAGAGGGCTGAGGTAGGGGACAGCTGTTGCTTGGGAAAACCCCTGGCTGCAGCAGTTCCCTGAACATTAAGCATGATCGTGAGTGCAGTGCCATACTGCGCTCCCACTCTTGGGTCACCTCAAATTGGCCTTGTTGACACTGCTTCATTCCCACGCCACGTTTAAATTAAATATTTCGAATGTGCAGAGGGTACATTTTAAACATAAGATCAGAATGAGGCATGATCAACTCACTAGTGATAAAACATGTCCATAGTCACTGCTTGTCCATTCACAATACACAACTCCACAAGAGATAGTAGGAACTGCAGATGCTGGAGAATCTGAGATAACAAGGTGTAGACTGGATGAACACAGCAGGCCAAGCAGCATCAGAGGAGCAGGAAAGCAGACATTTCGGGCCTAGCCCCTTCTTCCAGCTCTACACCTTGTTAACACAAATCCACAACTTGATTTTGAGTATGATTCCAGTTTGGTAATGGGTGAGACTCAGAACCACTCCCACAGTCTGCATATGGTGGGATTACTGTGGGAATAACAAGATTCTCCATCACATACCCATCACAGCTCACAGCAAACCTGGTTCAATGGGCAGAGACCTAGTGATTAGAAATAACAAGTTCTTTAGTGTCTGGGCTGGGGTCCATCTCAGATTCAGACAGACATATGGAGAGTGTAATCACCATGGTTTTCTGATCCTGAATAGTTCTCCACAGGGTCTGAGCAGTCATATAACAGCAAGAAAAGCGCAGAGAGGGAGAGAACACAGGCAGATCGATCACTGTAAAAATACTGGGTGCCAGCAAACGGAGGGGTGGGGGAGAGAGGTTCGTTGCCGTGGAGGAAGCTGTAGTGTTGCCACAGTGAAGGATACTGTTTCTGGTTGCTAGGATAGGTGTAGTGTTGTTCAGGAATATTCTGTAGAGTTTTCATGATTAACTGTACAGTCCAACAAAAAAGGCACTCAAATTCCACTTCCTGCTTGAAAGGAGGAATTCTGTGGGTTGTTCAAACTCTTCGGATGCTGAAAGTCTTTACAACTTTGGGGAAGGAGGTCCATCACTGCTCTCCAGCCTCAGACCCAAGCCCTGGAAATGCTCTGCTCTCCCAGGTCTGTCACTGCTTTCCAGCTACAGGCCCAGTCCTTAAATATCTAAACCATCATTATTTTACAAATCAAAACATCAATTAGGAACCAACATTTTCAGAAGTATCAGGTTTTACTGGTACTGAGCTCCAAAATCAGCAACAGCCCCCAGACAGGAGCCCTTTTGCTGGGGCAATGTTGGATCCAGGCTGCCTGGAGAGACAGTCACTAGACAACTCTTGGTGTCTTCTCAGCCTGTAAAGAGAGAGGAGAGGTGCAGCGGGCCAGGAGAGAGAGTGTGATGTGGGAGGAGAAGATGCCAGAGGGTAGGAGGAGCCATAAAATGTTTGGAGAGACACAGGGTGGGGAGAGAGGTTTGGGGAGTGGAGACACAGAGTGTAGAGAGAGACGTAGACAGGGAGGACGGAGAGAAACGGGTGGAAGCAGAGAGAGAAGTTTTAGTTGTGGGCTTTACTCACTGGCACATGAATTTGAATTGTTCTTGTTGGCAGTTTGTTATTTAAGAGGAAAGAGTCCACAAGTGCAGGTCCAATCTTATCCTTGGAGCTGTTAGGGAGTCTGGGATCCAGACCGTTTGGGTTTGAAGGATCCCAGGAGGGACTGAACCCCCTTCTTAACACTGGAACCAACTCTCCTGGCGACAGAATCTGCACATGGCACAGTCAGTGAGTTGCCGAGTCCTGGAGGCCGAGCATCCAAACACTTCTGATATCGCAGCTGGAAACAGTCAGAGCAGGAGGGAGGAAGGAAGATACAAAATCATTAGGATAGATCGTCGAGGCTTTCACATCAGATGCATCTGGACCAGGCACTATATCTATTTCCCTAACTCGCACTGACGTCTACACCTCACACAATAACCTTGACCCCTCCCAACCAACACCCCCGCCCCCACCACCCCTCCCCCACTGAGACACACCAACCTGAACATCTTTCCCCAACCCTGGTCTGACTGTGCCCCCTTCCCCTGTCACCCGCCACACTCCCGACAGGCACGCCTGCTGTGTGGTGCCCACCATCCCACTCACCATGCACGCTGCCTGCACAGCCTCTGATAGGCCAGCAGCATTGGGTTCACACCAGAACATGTGACAATCAAACTGATCAGGACCAGCAGCCATAATGAAGGCAAAGGAGTGGACATCTCGGCCAACACCCATAAAGGAGAGGAAACGCACTCGGCATTCTGACAGAACCTCTTCACTCTGCAAGGTAAAATAAAACAAAACCACAATGAAGAGAGAGAGAGAAAGTCAGGGACAACAGGCTGATGTGGGGGAGAAGAATGCACACAGGGATGTGGGAGGGGATTAAATGGGTGGGTACAGTCAGTGATGGGGAAATGTACATGGGTTTCTTTGTTTTTGGGATGCATGCTTCGCTGGCTGTACTAACATTTATTGCTCATCCCTTGTTGTCCTTAAGAAGGTGGTGGTGAGCAGCTTTCTTGAACCATCGCAGTCCATGTGCTGTAAGTAGACCCATAATGTCCTTAGGGAGGGAATTCCAGAATGTTGACCCAGCGACATTAAAAGAACAGCGATATATTTCCAAATCAAGATGGTGAGTGACTTGGAGGGGAGCTTGCAGGCGGTGGCTCATCAGAACCGGAGTTCTGAGGAATGGTCACAATACCTGAAACGTTAACTCTGATTTCTCTCCACAGATGCTGCCAGACCTGCTGAAGTTTTCCAGCAACTTTTGTTCTTGTTTCTGATTTACAGCATCCGCAGTTCTTTTGGTTTTTACTCCGTTTTTGTTGCAGGTAGTGGTGCTCCCATGAATTTTCTACCCTTGTCCTTCTAGACGGTGGTGGTCAGACGATGCTGTGAAGAAGCCTTGGCAAATTTCTGCAGCGCATCTTGTAGATAGTACACACTGCTGCTACTGAGCGTCAGAGGTGGAGGGAGTGGATGCTTGTGGATGTGGTGCCAATCAAGCGGGCTGCTTTATCCTGGATGGTGTCAAGGTTTTTGAGTGTTGATGGAGCTGCACCCATCCAGGCAAGTGGGGAGTATTCCATCACACTCCTGACCTGTGCCCTGTAGAGTGTGGGCAGGCTTTGGGGAGTCAGGAGGTGAGTTACTTGCTGCAGCATTCCTAACCTCCGACTTACTCGTATATATAATACAATATTTATTTGGCTGGTCTAGTTCAATTTCTGGTCAATGGTAACCCTCAGGGTGTTGCTAATGGGGGATTGAGCAATGGTATTGTCATTGAACATCAAGGGGCAATGGCTAGATTTTTCTCTTGTTGGAGATAGTCGTTGTCTGGCACTTGTGTTGTACCAACGTTAGTTGCCAGTTAATCATTTATCATCTGAAACGTGGATACTGTCCAGGTCTTGCTGCATTTGGACATGGATTGCTTCAGTATCTGAGGAGTCACAAATGGTGCTGAGCATTGTCAAGTCAACAGTGAACATCCTCATTTCTGACCTTATGATGGAAGGAAGGTCATTGAGGAAGCAATACACGTGGAGCTGGAAAAGCACAGCAGGTCAAACAGTATCCAAGGAGCAGGAAAGTCAATGTTTCGGCCAGCCCAAACTGTGCTTTCCCAGCTCCACATTTACTGACTCCAGCTTCCAGCATCTGCAGTCCTTACTGCCTCCAAGTCATGGATGATGCAGCTGAGATAGTTGGGCGTAGGACACTACCCTGAGGAACTCCTGCAGAGATGTCCTGGAGCTGTGGGAGAATGGATTAAATGGACAGTCAGTGATAGGGGAAAGTATATATCAGGCTGTGGGAATTCCTGGAAGTAAGATTCCCCATTTCTTTGTGAGAAAAGAGGATAAGTTCCAAACTATCAGCTATCTCAATCAGTTTGGTGATATTTCCCATGGAAAGAGCCTGAAAACATGGCATCCGCAGCCCCCCGATGGTTTGGTTACTCATTAGGATTAATTTGTTAATTTCCACGTTTGAATGAAGATATTTACACTGAAACACTGTTGTTCCTACTTCAGATCATTGCAACCCATCCTCACACTCTCACCTCCTCACTGATAATAGTGAGAGTCGCTGAAGCCACATTGACGATGACTGGAGTCCAGTTCTCTTTACAGCTGCTTTGAATAGTGTTCTCCAGCGCACTGTTTATCACATCCATACCTGGGAAATGAGAGGGAGGGGGAGGGTAAGAGAGAGCGAGAACACAGTGGCAGGGTGGAGGGGGGGAGAAATGAGAAATCTTAGAATACGAGCACAGGAACAGGGTAACGCCATTCAGCCACTCAAGCCTGTTGCACCATTCATGAGATCATGCTGATAGGCAACTTTACTCTATCTACCCACCTTTGCCCCATATCCCTGAAAACCTTTGGTCAACAGAGAACTATCAATCACAGATGTCAAATGAACAATTGAAGTATAAGAATATTAAGAGATAGGAGAAGATGATCATTCAGCCCTTTCAGCGTGCTCTGCCATTCAACAAGATCATGCTGGTTGTCCTTCTCAGTTCCTCCTCCCTGCATCATCCCCAAACACTGTGATCCCCTAACAGACAAAAATCTCAGCTGCAACTGTACTCAATTGAGCAGTCAAAACCCTCAAGGGTACAGATTCCAAAGATTCACAACACTCTGAGTGAAGAAACATCTCCACAACTCAGCCCTAAATGTTCCACTCCATTTATCGAGACTGCGACCCACGTTGCAAATTCTCCAGTTACCCAGCAACTACCCTGTCAAATCCTCAGGCAGTGTTTTATGCTTCAATGAGATTACCTCTCATTCTCCAAAACTCCAAAGAATATTAACCCAATGTATTCAGGTTTTCATTACAGGAAACAGTCTGTTGATCTGCTGTTACAGCCCCCAGTTGTAAGTTTATTCTTCCGTGGGTATGGAAACTAAAAGTGTGCACAGTCTGCCTGCTGTGGTTTCATTTGTACAATCCTTGGACTCCAAATGCCTTGCAATAGATGTCAACATACCATGTGCCTATGCAATTGCAGTTGCATCTGTATGTTATCAGGTCACCCAGATGCCTCTGAATAGCAACGTTTAGACGTTTCTCACTGTTTAAAAACAATTCTGTTTTATTGTAATGATCAAGAGGAGGCAACAGTGTGATCATCATATCATTGGACAAGCAATGTAGAGACCTAGACAAATGCTCCAGGGGTACAGGTTTAAGGAGACAAAGAAGGGAGGTGGAGTTATGGATTACTAGATCAGACATGATCTCAGTGCAAGGCATAGCAGACTCAATGGGCTGAACGATCAGCTTCTGTTGTTATATCTTATGATAGTGCCAATCAAGCCGCTAATTTGTTCTGGATGGTATCGATCTTTGAGTGTTGCTACAGCTGCACAGATCGAGGCAAATGGAGAGTCAGGAGGCAAGTTACTCACTCCAGAACCCCTAGCCTCTGACCTTGTAGCCACAGTACAGATTTAGATTAATTTATTTTCACATGTACTAAGTATAGGAATACATAGGTTCAGCAAAAAGTGTACAGTCGCCATTCATTGCCACCCACATGGTTACAAAAACCAGCGTTAAAAGATTTAACAGAGCCAAAAGGTATGCAAGAAAAAAAAAAATCCCGATCTCAGAGTCCCAAGTCCCATCTCCACAATGGTGCACACACAGCTCCAATCAATAGGCCACCGTCCTCCCCTCACCGCCCACTGCCCCCTCACCGTCCCCGCTCTCACCGTCCCCGCTCTCACCAAGCTACTGCGCCCTCACCGTCCCCGAGCTACAGCCCCCTCACCATCCCCGCTCTCACCGAGCTACTGCCCCCTCACCGTCCCCGAGTTACTGCCCCCTCACCGTGCCCGGTCTCACCACCCACTGCCCCTCACCGTCCACTGCCCCCTCACTGTCCCCGCTCTCACGGAGCGACTGCGCCCTCACCGTCCGTGCTCTCACGGAGCTACTGCCCCCTCACCATCCCCGCTCTCACCACCCACTACCCACTCTCACTGAGCTGCTGACCCCTCAACGTCCCCGCTCTCACCAAGCTACTGCCCCCTCACTATCTCGCTCTCATGGAGCTACTGACCCCTCACTATTCCGCTCTCACCGAGCTACTGACCCCTCACCGTCCCCGCTCTCACCGAGCTGCTGCCACCTCACCGTCCCCGCTCTCGCCGCCCACTGCCCCCTCACTATCCCCACTCTCACCGCCCACAGCCCCCTCACCATCCCCGCTCTCACCGAGCTGCTGTCCCCTCACCGTCCCCAATCTCGCTGCCCACTGCCCCCTCACCGTCCCCGCTCTCACCGAGCTGCTGCCCCCTCAC